GTAACTAATGCCAGAACAAAGGCCTCAAAGAATTAACCTGGTTAACGAGGAGAATTAGCCTTATCAAGAGTTAACATCTCATTAAGGAGACCAGAGGGATTTGGGAGTACTTCCCCACCCTCCGTATTTGGCACAGTCTTTCATATTTTTGTTCAGGTCTTATCAGCTCAGCTAGCTAAGATTCCTGAATGTGCTTTGTTCAACTTTAAATCACCCTTGTCATCTAGCCTTGCACATAGTAGACACTTTATAATGTTTGTTGATTGCCGCTGAGTGAACTTATTGGTGTAAATTCTGCCCTGAACATCTCTGAAATCCTTGGAGGCCCCTTTTCTGCCAGAGACCTGTTTCATGATTAACGAGAAGAAAAAGGAAACAGTGATCTTCTCTTGAAGAGGATGTCACACCTATCATTTAACATGTAGTTAAGACATTCTTGTTATTGTAAAGCTGGAATGAGAGGATTCTGAAAAACCAAAAAAGTGATTATTCATTCTCTTTCCATGACTCATGTATTTACCTTCATGACCTAGAAAAGGAAAAGTGAAGGACTGGATTTAACAGGAAGAAAAGGGAATGAGGATGGGGAAGAATGAAATTCCCTGTCTTTAGCACCCCAGATCTCAGAGAAAATGGCCCTCTCTTTGGGTTGTAAGTATAGCCCCAGGCCCCAGAATTGAGGGGAGGTATCTGGAGCTCATCAAACTACCCCCACCTCTCAATTTTCCTTCTTTGAAGATTGGACTCACACTGGCTTTATTTCATTTTCATTCTTTCATCTTGTGTCGTTCTTCTGAACATTTAAAGTAGTTCCCTGTGATTTGGCCAGAACTGTTGCATTCTTCTTAGAGCTGTTATCTACATGTTATCTACACCTGCTGACTATTGTGCTCCAATTCCATAAGTGTCCTCTGACCTGATTTGTATCAATAGAGAATTGGATGAGGTCTTTGGTTGTGTCCCAAATGGTCAAACATCAAACTCCTCTCTAGTCAGAGATGGTCAAGAGCTGATCTCATGAGTTAACATGAGTATAGCACTTTGTTGTTTTGTTTTTTGTTTTTTGGAGGGAGGCAATTGGAGTTAAGTGACTTGCCCAGAGTTACACAGCTGGGAAGTATTATGTGTCTGAGGCCGGATTTGAATTCAGATCCTCCTGACTCCAGGGCCGGTGCTCTATCCACTGCACCACCTAGCTGCCCCGAGTATAGCACTTTGAAAACAAAGCGCTGTGTAAATGCTATCGATGAGGATGAGAAGCATGATGATGATGATGATGTCATTTACTTTTAGAATCACCATGAATTAATTTCCCCCTTTCCAAAATATTGAGCTAAAGAGCCTATCTATGCTAGTCTGCTTCTCTCCCACCTCTTCCATTTTCAGGACATGTTGCTCTTTGTTTTCATCTTGATATGGAGGGTACTTAGAAAATAGCTAGCATGTATGTAGTGCTTTAAGGTTTACAAAGCATTTACATATGTTAACTCATTTGATCCTCACATGTTGTCCTGGGAGGTAGGTGTGATTATTATCCCCATTTTACACATGAGGAAACTGAGGCATAGAGAGATTAAGTGACTTGCCCAGGGTCACACAGCTAGTCAGTGTCTGAGGCAGGATATGAACTCTCAAGCCTTGCTGACATTAGCACTTCTAACTTCTTGAGTTCCTCTTTTAATTGGAAGTGACTTCCTATTGCTCTGTTTGTTCATTTCAGTTCATTAGATAATAGGGTTTGACTTTGAAAGAGACTGTAGCTGGGGCAACTAGGTGGTGCAGTGGATAGAGCACCAGCCCTGGAGTCAGGAGGACCTGAGTTCAAATCCTCAGATACTTGACACTTACTAGCTGTGTGGCCCTGGGCAAGTCACTTAACCCCATTGCCTAGGAAAAAAAAAAGGAGACCTTAGCAAGCAACCATCTACTCCAACCCCTTTATTTTATGGATGAGAAAACCAAGGTCCAGAGTAGCACGTGTCTTACGCACAGGTCAAACAATAAGTAAGAGTTGGGGTTTGAACACAGTTCTTTTTTGCTCCAGATTTAGTGCTTTTTCCATGCTGACTTTTTTTAATAGGTGGGGGCCATCTTCAGTCATCCTGATCTTTGTCTTGCCACTGGACCCAACTGACTCTGGAGGAGAAAGTGAGGCTAGTGACTTTGTACAGCTCTCCCTCATTTAAATCCAGTTCATATGCAAGTCATGACATCACCTCTCAGATGTCATGGTCCTCTTCACGAATGAAGGATAGACAACAATAACAACCAAACTTTAATAGGTGAACCACGACAACATACTCTAAAGGTATGCTTGGGACTTGAGTCAGGACAGGTCAAGAGGGTGCCAGGATGGGTACAAACAACTATTATTCAGGCAGGCTAGCCAAGGCCTGCCTGAATAGAGCAGAGATTGGGAAGAGCAGGAAATTAAAACAATTGGGATTAGGAACCCAGGCTGTCAGGTGTCTGGCAAAAAGTCTGTGCAACATGGAGTAAGAAACCCAGGCCAGGCTCCATATCTGTCTAAGCAGCCTCTCCGTCAGAAGCTGGACAAAGTAGCAGAAAAAGGGTACCATCCAGAAGAATGCAACTTTATACTGAGCTGGAGGCCTCAGGGGCCAGAGACTCTTTATGGACCTTTTCGCCAGGCCAGAGATTTAGTTCCAGAATATGAGTGGGCCAGAGGAGTGAGTTAGAGAGTAATAGTCAGTAGCATGTTTTCATAAAAATTTGTCATGCCAGGTTAGCTTCACTTGTTTTATTTTTCATCTGGTAATTAGCCTTGTAGATTCAGGAAAATTTTGTAGAAGTAGTTTATGTATTTATTTTTTAATAAAGCATTTGTCATATTTCTAATTATTTCCTTCCATCAACCAGTCAATCAGCATTTATTGGCTACTATGGGCCATACCCGGTGCTAGGCTCTGGGTAAACAAAATATAAAAAAGAAATAATGGTACTTATATTGAGGGATATAAGAAGTACATATATAAATGTACACAAAATAAATATAAAGAGAATAAACACAAATAAATGCGATGCAGTTAAATACAAGGTCATTTCAGAGGGGGCACTAGCAATTGGGACATGAGGAAAAGGTTTCATGTTACAGGTGGTACATGAACTGCATTGTGAAGAGATGTCTTGAGGGAATCCTTGAAATAGAGTTGAAGAAGAAATGCATTCCAGGCATGGGGGACAGCTATGGCAAAGGCCTGGAAATGGGAGATGGAGGGTGATGTGTGAGGAACAAAGAGAAGGCCAGGTTGAATGGACTGCAAAGTATGGAAGGAGTATGGACGCGTATTGGTCATGTCCAATGGGGCTAGAGAGATAGACGGGGCCAGGTGAGAGAGGGGAGACACTGGAGAAGGAAATGGCAAATCCCTCCAGTGTCCTTGCCAAGAAAACCCCATGGACAAAGTCTATGGGGTCATGTCAAGTCAGATATGACTGACTGAATAACAACAGCTACATTTCAGAGGTGAGGGGCCAGGATGACAAAATCGAAGGTACCATGATTAGTTCAAGGAAATGGGAATATTTATCCTGGAAAAGAGGAAGATTTAGCAGAAAATGTCTTAACAAAAAGTCTTTAAAGATTTTAAGAGCTGTCTTGCAGAAATGGGAATAGACTTGTTCTGCTTAGTCTCAGTGGACTGAACTGTAAGGAAAATGTGTGGGATGTACATGAAATAGATTTGGTCTTGATGTATGGTGAAACCTCTTAATAATTAGATCCATCCAAAAGCAAAATGGGATGCTTTTGGAGGTAATGAATTCTTCTTCAGTTGAGGTCTTTAAGAGAAGGCTAGCAAATCAGAAGTGTTGTAAAGGGAAGTCTTGGTTAGGTATAGTTTGAACCAAGATTACCTCAGATTACTAAGATTACTTCCAATGCTCAAATTCTAAAATTCTGTGTGAACCTCTATGCCTCGATTTCTCATCTGTAAAATGGTCCCAGTCATGGTCTGGGGACTCTCTAATTCATTGTGTTGTGAGGAATAAATTAAATACTGTGTATGCACGTACTTTGTAAACTGTGAAGTATTACACAAGTTCAAAGAATTATTAGGTATAATTGTACTGTACTTCATCTGTGTGTGTATTCCCTCCACCAATGCAGGTGCGGACCCTCCTTGTCTTAGTCAGTGTTTTTATAGCTCCCTCAAACTTTCCTCACCTGGTAGCCAACCTTGGATCATGAACCTCTCCCCACACTTAAATAAGCTCGTCCTCAGGTAATAGATGCCATGGTCCAACCTGTACCTGAAACCTTCCCAACTTGGTGTAGGACTTGCCAGAGCTTACACTTCCCAGGCAGAACCTTTGAGAATTCAGGGCCACCTCTACTCCATAATGAGGCCTCAGATGGAGAATGGCATACTCCCTGTACTTGCTTATATCAAGGGAGAAAAAGGAGGGATTGTGGTAGTCATGACAGGTGTCAGGAACCTTACATTCTACCTATGGTTCTACCTCCATGAATCAGTACCAGGGAGACTGTCTATTAGCGTCTTTTGGCCATCTCTTTCTTCAGCCAGCTTCTCCTTTCCATGGTCTTCAGCTAGCTGGACTTATCAATCCAGATTCCTTAGCTTCCTGCACATATCAAGCCCAGAAGCCCGAAGCTGGCTTTAGCAGTTACTCTGGTAAACAGTCGCTTCATCAGAATGGAGGTGGAGGTTTGGAGAAGCTAGGGTGTAGCAGTTGAAAATTAAGGATCGAAACAATCCTATGAAGATCAAGCATGTTGGGAGCCCTCCAGACTTCTGAATGTTACAGCTAGTACAGTCAGTAAATTTGGCCACTCCTATATTGGAGCAGTAAGTCTTTAGCAAGTCTTTATTGGGCACCTAAAATTCGCTTGGCAGTGTGTGGAAAACAGAATTGAAAGATGGAGTACCTGCTCTCGGGAGAGCTTACATTCTAAGCTGGGAAGACAAGACATACACACGTGAAACATATCATGCAACAGAAGACATTCTACACTCGAGTTTTAAATTGTTTGGTATAGACAACTTTAATAAGAATTCAAGAGGAGGGGAGATCAATGAGGGCTGTACCAGTTGGAGGGAACTTCATGGAGGAGGAGGCACTTCAAAACATAGGTGTAAGCTGGCAGGGACACCTTTGAAGTCATCTGGTCTGATCCCCTTATTTTACGAAGGTGAAAACTAGGACCCAACAAGGAAATGACTTGTCCCCGGTCACAGAGAAGGAGATTGTAGAGTCAGGCCTCTAGCTAGCACTTTTCTGACTGCTGCCAAGGCCTTGAAGAGTGGGTGGAACCTAGGGAAGAGAGGGACTTCAAGTAGGGGCTGGGGGAACAAGGCAGCATTTAGAGTGGACAAAGAGGCCGTGCTCCTTTCTCTGGGATTCCCTTAGGATTTCCCAGTCGCTGCTCCATTAGGGGATTCGGGCTTTGTATATGAAAAATACAAACCAAGACCAGTTCCAAAGAGGAAGCAAACTGCCACTGGAGGGGAGGCAGTAAAGTCAGTCTTGTTGGGCGATGATTGAATGGCTGGCAATCTTAAGCAGCCAGAGGGAGTCTGGGAATTGCATAGTTCTTAAGTATGCCAAAAGCACATCACACATTGCAAAATACAATCACCCCCTCAGACAAAAAAGGCCCCACCCCATTCAGGCTCAATGCACAGACCTCCATGTGTTCTCAAAACAATCCTTCACACAACCCAAGGGCAGCCGGAGGCTCATAGTTCACCTTGAGGTTTGACTTGTTTGTTCCCTTGCAAAGGGAGAGTACACTTGGGCATCTGAGTTGGTCTTTTCCCAGTGGCTATCATTTGCTTCATCTTGTATGATGTATAGGTATCACTAGAGGAGTTGGGTGTGTGGTCAGTAACTAAATGTTGATGGGTATAATGTAGAATTTGTTGGAAAGGGGGACCTGAATCTTTCTCATACTTGGTTCCCCAAGGCCTGGCTGTCAAAGGACTTGCCTGGCATTAAGCTGTGGTGTGCAGCAGTCTGAAGAATAGCAAGTTCCTTGTGCCCCACCCCTAAACTATGTTAGTAAGGACTCTACAATTAGTAGTAGACAATTAGTCAGGACTCTACAAGTTTGTAGTCTTGGGTGGGCTACTAATTCACTTTATAGTTTTAGACCAGTCATTGACTCTTTCTGGGCCCCAGTTTTTAAATTTCAGGATGTGTTAAATTGGGCCAGATGAGGCCAAGTGACTTTTTTTTTTGGGTAGTGGAGAAGAGAGGATTCTGCTGGCCTATGAGGTCCTTCCAAGTTCTGGACTGTCATCTATAAGGTCTTATTTGATGTTAACATTCTATGAATTTGACTCTTCACTAGTAAAGATTATAAAACCAGTATGGCATAATATATAAAAGGCTGGCTTTGTAACTAGGTAGACCTGGGTACGAGGGCTGCCTCTGGCACTATCAGCTGTGTGACTCTGGACAAACCATTTAACTTCCCAGTGCCTTGCTGATGTGTCCTGGAATTAAGTTTCAATGTTGGGAGTTTCCCCCATGCACCACAGGTCCAGAGTTCTTCCCTACCTCCAGAATCAGATCTGCTGGGATTTCATTGATCAGCTTTCCTCTGGGGGCCCACTTTCCTCCTCTTTGCCTCCCCAGTACTGCCCTCTAAACCAGTGATCCCCAGGAAGCTGTATGGCTTCACATAGTCACATGTCCATAAGCACTCAAAGCCCCCTCCCACTTCTCAGATCTCCCTGTCAATTCTTTCACCTGCCCTTGGTTTCTCTGGCCTGGTTAGCCAGCAGACAATGGGCACAGGAAATGTAAATTTAACAACTCAGAGAAATCTGAAAGTCAAGTTTCCTACAATAGATTTGAAATAGAATCTTGAACCATGACCTCCAGTGGAGAAGTGATGACTCAGTACACACAAAACACAGTAAAGGAGGAAGGGAACCAGAAAGAAATATTCCCCTGGCCACAGCTCTTCACCCCCAGGTCCTGGTCTTGAGGGCTCACTGCCTGATCCCTCTGTCAGGAAGCATATTTGTGTTGCCTTTCATTACATTTTGTGCTAAGCTTGATTCTGAGGATCAAACTGGGAGGCGAAGGCAGAGATTCTCAGCAGTAGCTCCTTCTTGGGGCAGGGTCTTGGTTTGTAATAAAAGGCAGGGAAGACGTTAGGAATTTAAGTAGCCAGAGTGGGCTAGAATGATGCCAGGACTTTGCCATTGTCTACATCTTGATGCTGGTCACTTGGAGATAGCACCAGTGCGATCACCAGATGTGGAGGACTGGGCATCCCTCAGCCGTGGAGAAACTGTACTGCTTCCCTCTTCTTTCCTGGGGTTGTTCTCCTCTGAGTGCTGCCGAGAGCTGCTCACAGAGCAAAGAAGGCCACAATCCTAAGGGTCTCCTCACATCAAACACAGTCAGCGCCTTCCCTGGGCCAGTAAGGATGAATTTCTTTGTAGCAGAGAAGTCGAGTCCCCGAAAGCAGCAGAATGGAATAGGAGGTAGCCCTGGGGTCATGAAAAGAGAGCTAGGCCTCTCTTTTGTGGCAGACCAAGACCTGGGCTTCAGGCCCAGCCCTGTGTCACCTCAGGCAAGTGACTCCCCTTCTGGGGCTTTCTTTCCTCATTTATCAAGTGAAGAACTTGGACTGGGTGATTTCTGAGGTCTCTTCTCGTTCTAAATCCTGGGGGTCTAAGGACTATTGTGGGGGGGGGAGCACCTAAATAATTCTGTGCGTCAGCGAAGGAAAGTATCTTACATTTCATTGGGGCTCCACAAGTAGGAAGAGGACAACAAAGCACTCTGGGATATTTGACCCACCACTGAAATACAGCCCCTTCGGGGCTAGGGCCATGCTGCATTGTGGGCAGTTCAAGAAGCTCAGGATTATAATGGACATTTGAAGTGAAACTTAGAGCATCTTTAGAGTTGCCCTAAATGCCAGTGGCCATCCAGGAATTATGAGGGGAGAGGTCTGTCCCTGACGTGGCAAGAGGCAGAGGAGGGCAATGTTGGCAGGAAATCCATTGTGTCCAGATAGTCATAGAAAGGCACTGAGATGGCTCTCTATTTCAGATGAATCATTTTCCGAGTTATGAACCTTTTTCTAGGAAGATGGGTTAATTGTCTATATGCTGGTGTGTTTTATGAGTTGCTCTTTATTTCTTTTTGGCCTCTTAATCTTATTCATTCAGTCCAGATTTCCAGAAGTTAAGGCATTTACCCTCAAGAAAAAGAAGCAGCATGTTAAAAAAAATCATGTCTTCAAGGTGTGAAACAGTCCAAGAGGTTTTGGGGACTCTGAAAAAAATAGCAACAAGGTGTCATTCATCCATTTATTTGTTCAACAAATATTTATGTGCGCAGAGTTGTATTGTGCCCTTAACAAGGAGAAACAAAAACTAATTGAGCAGGTCTACTCGTTTCCTATTTAGTTTCTGTTTTGTTCACTCTATCAGTAGGTAGTAAGAGAACTATTGTGGCCTTTGATGACCTTGAGGTACCTGGCCCAGAGGAACTACATCCTCGGGCGCTGAAACAGCTGGCACATGTGATTGCTGAGCTACTGGCAGTGATCTCTGAAAAGTGTTGGAGAAGGGGAGTGAGATGTACTGCAGCACTGGAGAAGGACAAATCCCCAATTCCCACAAAGCAAAGAGAATGAAGTCTATAAAAACTACAGACCAGTGAGGCTGACTTCTATTCCTGGCAAAGTTCTAGAGCATGCTGTTAAAGGAATGGTATTGAACATCTGGCAAAGGAAGGAGTGTTCACCGAGAGGCAGCATGACTTCATCAAGAACAGGTCATAGGGTCATAGACTTGGAAATGGAAGGCACCTCAGAAGCTTTGAGTCCAGCTCCCTCATTTTACAGACGTGCTCACGCCGGACTGACCTCCTTCCTCTCTTCATGAAATTACTAAATTGGGAAACCGAGAGAAGGTGGCTGGTAGATGTGGCGCACCTAGTTTAGCAAAACGTTTGACAAAGTCTTTCATTCATTTTCATGGAGAAGACGGAGAGATGTGGACCAGATGATAGTACAATTAGATGGACTTAGAATCAGTGAACTGGATGGATTCAGAGTGATTATTGATAGTTCTATTGTAACGCAGAAGGAGGTCTCCAGTGGAGTGCCCCAGGGATTTGTGCTTGGCTCTGTGCTTTTTAACATTTTAATTAATGACTTGAATAAGGATACATGTATTATATGTTTGTCAAATTTTCAAATGATGCAAAGCCGGGAGGAATGACTGGATGACTGAATAGGATTCAGAAAGACTTTGACAGGCTGGAACACTGGGCCAAGTCCAGTAGGACAAAATTTAATGGGAATAAATGTAATGTCTTACACTTGGGATCAACAAATCTACTTCATAAATACCAGATGGGGAAAGAGAGCCATGACTGAACAACAATTTGATGAAGATATTGAGATTTTAATGGGCTACAAGTTCAGTTTGAGTCAATGGTGTGATCTGGCAGCTAAAAAAGCCAGAAGATCACAATGATGTGATTTGAGCTTCCTTGAAAAAGGCCTGCTTTCAGGAATAAAGGAGGTGTGATAGGTTGTTGTAGTCCCACTACATATGCAGTCTTATGTTTACTTCTGAGCATTATATTTTAGAAAAGATAAACTGGAGTGAGCATCCAGAGAAAGGCAACCGGGATGGTGAACAAGCTGAAGTTCGTTGCATGTGAAGACTGGTGGAAGGAACTGGGATTTTTACGCTGGAGAAGAGAAGACTTATGGGCGCACACTAGCTATCTTCAGATATTTTGAAGGGTTGTCGCGTGGAAGAGGAATGAAATCTGTTCGGTTTGGTCCTAGAGAGCAGTACCAGGAGTAATGGGTAGAAGTTGCAAATGAGCAAATGTAGCTTTGATGTCAGGAAAAACTTCCCAATAATTGGAGCTGGGTGAGGGGGAGTGGAATGCCTTAGTAAGTAAGCACTGCATTCCCCCTCTCTGGGAGTTTCTGAACAGAGGCTGAATGGCCACTTGTCCAGTAGGCTATAGAAGGTTCACTTATCAGGTAGGATTTGGATCTGACGGCCCCTGGGGTCCCTTCCATTGGAAACATTGTGGTTCTGTGAAAAGAAATGCAAGATAGCGTATCTGCCCTTGAAGCAACTAACATCCTATGTGAGACATATTTTCGTGATTCATGCAACTGAAGAATATTTATAAAGAAACATGAACAAGCACAAAATATTGTGGCATAAATTCTATTTAATTTCCCTCGGTGTTTGATCAGAAAGATGAGGTTCCCTTGGAAGGGCTCTTTGGAGGTCATTTTTGAGATGGGTCTCAAAGGAAGAATGACAAGCATGCACTGTCAGAGAGGAAGGGGGGGCAAATTAATTAATTACATGTAGCAGAGATGGCAGGAGAAAAGGTAGTTAAGATGATTATTTGGCAGGAGTGGAGGGCCATGTTGGGAAGTAATAGGAAAGAATGAAATGTCAGTGGAGGACCTTAAACACTGGGATGATGAGCTTCAGACTGACAACAGGGAAAAGGGAGCTATGTTTGGGTCGTAAGCAGTAGAATGAAATGATGGAATTTGAGTTTATGGAAGATTCTGATAATCAGCTGGAATGGGGAGGAAAATGGAGAAAAGGCAGCAGAAGAGTATTACTAACATAATTGATGATGTAACATTAATCATCATTGTAATCAATCATCATTATTAGCTATTAAAGCTTGTAGCACTTGCTGATTTCTGAGATATAAATGTTCACATTGAAAATTCAGTCCTGCTGGCTCTAGCACACCCCTTCCTATGTGTCACAGTGCTCAGTGACTATTTGTTGAACTGAAGAAGAATTAACACATTAGTGAGGCCTTTTTATCCTTTTCTGGTCAGGGCTAACCATTTATTTATCTTAAATTGTTTTGACTTCATTGAAGTATGTGATGCCCTTCGGTAAAAGATATCTGGATGTCCACAAATATGTCCAATAAAATTTCAATTCAGTTAAATATTGATTAGTCATCTTCTATGTACAATATAGAGTGCTGTGTTCTGCAGGAGAGAGAAAGATAAATAAAACATCATCCCTTACTCAAATGAGCTTATCCTGGAAGAAAGATAAGGCACGTACACAACTAATGATAACATTAATATTTCACATTTATATGGAACATGATACTTTACAAAGTGCTTTCTTCAAGACAACCCTGTGTAGTTGGTAGGGCAAGTATCATCTCCATTTCACAGATGAGGAAACTGAGGCTCAAGGAGGTTAGGGTCTCACAAATACAAAATAGACCATAATAAGTGCATGAGAGATACAAGAGCTGCATGAGGACTTGGGAAGTAACGATTATTTCTAACTAGAACAGTCAGGCAAAGTTAGCATTTATGTTGAATCTTGCAGGATGTGTGGGATTTCAAAAGGTAGAGATAGGGAAAAGGACATCCTAGAAACAAGCCAAGGCGTGAGTAAAGGTGCAGAGGCAAGTACAGGGGTGGGGTACCTGCAGTCTCGAGGTCACATGTGGACCTCTAGGTCCTCAAGTACGGGCCTTTGACTGAATCCAAACTTCACAGAACAAATCCCCTTAATAAAAAGATTTGTTCTATAAAACTTGGACTCAGTCAAAAGGCCACATCCAAGGACCTAGAAGGCCACCTGTGGCCTTGAGACTGCAGATACCCCACCCCTGAGTTGGAACATAGGAAGAATAGGAGATCCTTTCCTAAAGAATGCTGACTCTAAACCCATAAGCGTAGGGTCTTTAAAAAAATCATTGATACCTTTTTTGTGTATCACTTTCATTTCTGAATAGTTTACTACTCAGAAAGCCATTCCTTCTAACAAAGATCGTAAAAGGAAAAAGAAAAAAAAGGTCAGAAAAACTAACCAACACGTCTGACAGTATATGCAACATTCTTCCACCATAGTCCTCCCACTTCTGCAAAAGAGAGGGTGGTGCATTTGGAGTATAGGGTCTTAGAAGCAAACACTATTATCCCATAAAGTATGTGAATAAATAGAGCCCTGATTCATGAATTTGCTTAATTGTTCTCTGAGACCACCAACTGTGAGCAAAGCTTCTAGAAAGTACATTCATGCATGTACACATGGTCTCCCAAGCCATTCACCTGGTCATCTTACCTATTCTGTCAGTGACTATGTGTGTTTCTGTATGTCCCAGAGAACCTAAAAGAGCATCAGGTGAGGGGTGAGGGGCAGAAGTACCCAAGTAAGGGCACAGAGAGATGAACCTAGCAGGGTAGCTTCAGAGTTCAGCAGCTGTAGGTGGCCCCTTTTTTTAATCTCAGAGTCTGCAGAGGGAGGAAGAAAACATACCATTGAGGGCAAACTGGATGCTTTTTTCTTCACATGGTTCAATAGCAAACAGCAAACATTGAAACAATAGAAGTCGTTTTTAACAATAGCTGTTTTTCAGACCACTATTTAGCTTATAGTTGGCTTAAGAGCAGAGCTTTCTCCAAAGGAAGTTCCATTCTTGGACCCATTCCTATGATTACCCAATCAAATGAGAAGCTTTGCCAATAGAATAATATTACACATTGCCTAATAATAGAATAGACTTCCGTAGTTCATTTTCTCAATAAACACATTCTTGGCAAATCCCTATGTGCACACAGCACTTTTCTTGCATGTTGCTTAGCTCTTTACAGATATTATATCATTAACTCTCACAACACTCTTATAAAATGCTTAGGTGGAAAGTGCCATCCTTTTTTATAGTTGAGAAAGTCAATGATTAAAGAAATAGACTGGCTTACCAGAGGTCACCTAAGTTAGCAATGGCAAGAAACAGACCTTAACACATAAGTCCTGCTGCCTCATTCATTCATTCAGTATTTATTGAGTGCCCACTACATGCACAGCAAGGAAGTGGTCTGTGCAATTTAGTAATGATTTCTGTGCTGTTCTGTGCCAAATGCTTTCTTTGTGTCCTTGGGCCTCAGGTCTGATTCCTCTGTTGGAGTTGACCTCCAGTGGGCAGGCAGAGGACCAAGTCTCTGAATGAAATGGAAGTCTAACATCCATGGTTTATGCAATTCTTGCCCTTTCTATGCCAATGGACATTCCTTGTGATATATGGGGAAAAGTCATTCAGTGGGAACTGGACCCAAACTCACTCACCAACTCCTTTTTTGAGGGCTTCAAAATCAAGGCACCAAAAACAGTGTTGGTTGATCATGATATGATAGGCTGAGTAAATAACAGTTGAATTTTCTGAGTTAAATTTTCCTGGCTACTTAGAGATCAATTTGATTCCACCACAGCTCTGACATTAAACCCAGGGTCTCCTAGTCGATCTAGAGAAGCATCTTGAAAGACTAGCCCAACCACAAGCTGTATTCTGAAAGAACCCAGGGAGAGCAGGGTGCTTCTGGGGACTGTTTAGGTCTGCATCTGCCCAACCCGAGAGGTCAGTTAGGCCCAGAGCTTTCAAGCAATACTACTGAGCTCACTCTAATGTGGCTATAAACTGCTGGATCTGTTGTGATCTTTCAAATAGTAGAGGACAGGCTAGACCTGAGAGCCACATCAGAGGAAATTGCACTCCCACATTGTAGTCAAAACCCATCAGCCCCCAGGCAGAACGTGTAATCAGCCTTTGTGAGCAGCTACTTCAGGTGAATATCTGTTTCTGTGATTCTCTTAGTGTTGGCCTTGCTTTGAATTGTTAGAAAACTGTGGCAGAGATTGCAGAAGGACATCCTTTAACACTGAGGTGACCCATAAATAGCTATTGAATTCAATCAAATTGAATTTCAATCTATCATCAGTTCTCTAAACCATCCAGAGTTCCTTCAATTCCATGCAAAGAACAGATGTAGAACGACCCACCTGTCACTTTGATATCCCCTGTGGCTTTGGCAATGTCATTCTCAATCGTGCAGGAGTATGTGTTGTTGACAGTGACATTGTAGAGCACAGACACCACCTTCATGGTCACATTCTCAGAATTCAGCTCAAAGCTGGTGTTGGAAACTTCAGAAAAGTTGGCTCCCTGGTCAACCTGAGAGGCCCAGGCCACAGTGGGTTGGGGGAACCAGCGGGGAGCCTCACAGCGCAGACTTTCTGAACTGGCATTGTAGTCCACATTGACATCTGGGATGCTGAAGGCTGAAATGTAATCCACAGGGAGGGCATAGGTCAGTACTAAAGGTACAAGTCATTTGGTTTCAGGGTAAAATTTCAAAAGTAAGAACATTGATTAGCCTATATTCATTTGTAGTTTATTTAGGTGAGTGACATGATCAGACCTGTGCTTTAGGAAAATCACTTTTGCATTGAGTGAAGAGGATGGATGAAAAAGTGAGGGACTTGAGGGAGGGAGAACACTTAGGGAGCTATTGCAGGAATCTTGAGGACCCCATCAGCCAAAGAAACTATGGCCATTTCACCTATGCCTAGCCCTGGGCATTAGGCTGCCCCAGGGTCCTGGGTGCAGGTCTGGTTGCTCATAGAAGCCTGCTAGAAGTAGAGTACAATTTAGTTCTATTTTTTAGAAAAAGTGTTGTGTTTGCTATGTGCAAGGTGCTTTGCTAGAAGCTGGAGATGTTAATATAGTATGACCTAGACCCCACTCTCATGAAACAGTTCCATGGGGATGGGCAAGTATACAACTGCCATGTAAGAAAAGAAAATGAAAGTGCTCAGAGAAAATTGAAAAGAGACAGAGAGAGAAAGATAGAGAGAGAGAGACAGAGAGACAGAGATTACTTTTGCCTGAAGGGGTCAAAGAAAACTTGAAGGAGATGTCATCTGATTTGGGCCTTGAAGGAAAGAAGAGACATTAGCAAGTAGAGTTGTTGAGCAGCCAGCCTATTCCAAGCAGAGATGACGATATAAACCAGGATACATAGATGGAAGACGGCAGGATGAAGGAGTATAAAGAGTAGTCCAAGAGGAGGAGTATAAGCTAAGACTACATGAATAGGCTGAAACCAGATTGAAAAGCCTTGAATCCTGGGATTAGGAGTTTACACTTTATTTGGTAGGCAATGGGGAAACAGAAGGTTTTTGACTGATAGTCGTAGCAGTGCCTTAGTAATGTTACTTGGTGACCTGGAGAATGGATTGAAGTGATAGACTGAAGATAAGAGACTTGGTCTGAAGACTGTTACAGTGGTCTAGGAGAGAAGAGAGGAAGGTATGAATGAGGGTGATGGCATTGGCAGCGGCTAGGGAAGGATACCTACGGGCAGAACTGGGGAAGCATTTGGCTCAAGGTCACATAGGAAGGGCTCTAAAGTTTGCCACGCATTCTCCACATAATAGCACTTTGGATAATAGGTATTTCAAGTATTCTTAGCCTCCTTGTATGGATGAGGAAGCTGAGGTTTAGAAAAGTGAAGGGATTTGCCCAAGATCAGACAACTCAGAAATTGTCAGACTGGTCAGGACTAGAACCCAGGCCTTCTGATTCCCAGACAGCGCACTTCACACTGTACATGGATGCTGGCTTTGGGCTCCTTTCTCCCATTTACTCCAACATAATAGATTTGAGGGGCAGCTAGGTGGTGCAATGGAGAGAGCACCGGCCCTGAAGTCAGGAACACCTGACTCAGGCCTCAGATCAAACACTTGACACTAGATGTGTGACCCTGGGCAAGTCACTTAACCCCAATTGACTAAATAATAATGATAATAATAATAATAATAATAATAATAATAATAATAATAATAATAGACTTGAACAGGCTTAGGACAGGGATTGGCCTGTCATGTTGTTGGTATAGAGAACTCCCAGGTAAGGAAACTTCCTCTCCCAATGCAGGGAGGCCCCTTGTCTGCAACTCAAGAGTTTTAGAGAGTTGTCTAAAGCCCTCAGAGGTTGTGATAGTCATTTTGGGTCAGAGGTGTGGCATGGACCCAGGTCTTCCTCCTGGCTTCAAGGCTGGCTGGCTGTCTACTTCACCACACTGCCTCTCTTATAGACTGACATAGAGCAGGTACATGCTTAATAAATGCGTGTTGAATTGAATTTTAAAGACATTTAAAATACGATTCTTTTTTGCTTTTAATGAGCAATCCCTGTTACATACCAACATGAGTTTGGAGGGTACTTCCTTTTCCTTTTTCTAGATATGACTCACCTCCAGTTTTATATTCCAGTTTGGCATTTCCCTTGCCCTTTGAGGTGATGATGTAGCATTTGTAGGTGCCAGCATCTGTTAACTGAACATTTTTCAGCTTTAGAGAAGCATTGCCAACTATCACTTGATCTGCAAACACTGCTGTGCGGCCCTTAAACGTGTCATCTTGATGGGACAGATCATCCTTGCCCTCTTTGAACTCATGGACCATGCCCATGACGCCTTCCTTTAGCCACTGTATCACGATGTCACTGAGCTTGATGTCAGGTTCAAATGTGCAGCTCAGGATCCCATCCTCACCAATGTTCCCGGCTGAGGTCAGAGTAGTGACAGTAATGGAGTGTCTCCCTGAAAGTCAAGAAGAGTTTAGGACTGGAGGGAGGGTTTGACGTGCACCAACAGTTGCACCTTTTAAGGGGAGTCCAAGAAGGGTCATCAGAAATGTAACTAACGAGGCAGCTAGGTGGTGCAGTGGACAGAACACAGGCCCTGGATTCAGGAGGACCTGAGTTCAAATCTAGCCTCAGATACATAACATTTACTAGCTATGTGACCCTGGGCAAGTCACTTAAACCCATTGCCTAGCCAAAAAAAAAAAAAAGAAAAAGAAATGCCCCGGAAGGGACTGACAGAGAATGAAGGGCTATGGACCTAAGGAGACAGAATAGAAAGAAAATACATCTGGAGCTGTTCATCTCAATTCCAAAAGTAGACTCTGTGCATTGGATAGCCTAACGCAGAGGTGTCAAATTCAGGCAGCCTGGCACAAGCAGCCCCCTGGCAAAACTCCCAGGTGCCCAGACCCAGAGTAAATGGAATTGGGAAGTGTTTAACAAAATAAATAAAAATATAGTACAATATAGATAATGCTAATTTGTAGTTTTCCAAGTCAGTATGCTGACAGCAGGATCTGTTTTTATTTGAGTTTGACACCACTGGCCTGGGGGACTTAGGAAGCAATTTTATAGTTAACCAAAAGTGATACAAAAATGAAACCATATGAAAGATCAATATCAACAGTGGTTATTTCAGAGTGGGGTAAATGGCTAAGAGATCTCTGGCTTCTAGATAGGATGACATGACAGTGTTATAAAAGACATTAAGGACAAAGTCATTCTTTTCTTTTCAATCATATTGTTCAATGCCCTTTTGAGATGGTACCATAGTCGACATTCATATTCTGCTCAACTTAGGTAAGAAAGGAAGCACCAGAAGATTGTTGATAGTAATAATGGCAGCAGCTTATGTGCTGTTTGTCCTTAATGTCCTTTTGTAACAATGTCATGTCATCCTCTGTAGATCCCAGAGGTCTCTTGCCATTCACCCCACTCTGGAATAATCATTGTTGACATTTATCTTTCATATGGTTTCATCTCTTTTTTTAGTCTGGTTAACTATAAAATTGCTTCTTAAGTTTCCTAGGCCAGTGGTGTTAAACTCAAACAGCACAACCCCCTTATGAGGTAGGTAGTATAGGAATTATTATCCCCATTTTTTATTGATGAACCAACTGATGTTCCCCATAGCCACAGGATCATATATTTAGAGAAACTTTAGAGGCCACTGAGTTGGATCACTGTCATTTTATGGGTATGGAGAGCTTGAGTGACTTTTAGAAATCGAGGTATAGGTAGCTCATCAGAGGTGAAACTTGAACCCAGATCTTACAGACTCCTAGTCTAATCCCCTGTCCATTACACCAAGAAGCGCTCTGGTATTTTTACTGCACCACAAATTTAAAAAAGAGAACCTGTGACTATATCGTGGTCATAGTAAGCATTCAATGAATGATTGATTCGTCAGTCAATCTTATCTCCCAGGTACATGAATGATAAAGATGTTGATGGTACAAGTCAAGGATTATCCTGAAGAACAGTATGAAATTCATAGGGTCATGCATTTGGAATTGGAAAAGACCACCCAAGAGGCTATGTAGTCCAACCCTTTTATTTTATAGATGAGGAAACTGAGGCTTGGAAAGGATGAGTGACTTGCCCATGGTCACAAAGAGGGGTTAATGTCAGAGGGGGTATTTGAAGTCCTGTCTTCCTAACTTCCTCATTCAAGTTCAACACTTTCTCCACTATTCCTACCCTGTCTCTGTCAGTTCTGTGTGATGGATTCCAGATGGGGAAGCAGTTTGCAATAGATGGTGATAATAACAATTCATGGATGATTGTTAGGGCTACCAAGGACAGAAAGTGAAAATGGATGGGGGAGGAGAGGTGATGTAGTGTAATGGATTTGGAGTCAAAGGACTTTTGAGACAAAGTAGCCCCTGCTACTTATTACCTACTTGATTCTGGATGGGTCACTTCTCTGGACTTAATTTTCCTTGTGTTAAAAATAGAATTAGCACAAGATGATTTTTTTTAATCCCTTTCAGCCCCAAATGTTATTGTGACTCCTCCCCCCCCCCAAGGTCAAGTGAGAGAAGACGAACACTGATATTAGGGACCCATGAGAATTCTCAGGATGGTTTGGATTTGGGGAGTATTCCAGGGTAGTGGCAGTGGGGAGTGGAAAGAAAGGAACAGATACAAAAGATACAAAAGAGGTTGTGAAAGTAGAATGAATGGAAATGGGCAGTTGAGCAAATGTACAGGATGAGAGAGAAGGAAGAACCAAAATAATTACAAGGCTTCAAGCCTGGATGACTGGGAGGTGATGATTCTATCACCAGAAATGAGAAAATTTGGAGGAAGGATAGTTTTAGGTGGAAAGATGAGTTTAGTTTGGATCTTTTGAGTCTGAAGTTCCAGAAGTATATCCAGGTGGAAGAGAATACCAGGGAGTTGGAAATACCAGAGCTCAGGTGAGAGGTCAGGGATGATAATTGCAGTCATGGGAACACATGAGAATACCCATGGTCTTAAGTAACACCCTATTTAGGAGGTGAAAAGAGGACTGAACCAATAAAGGTAGGAAAACTAAGAAAGGAAATCTGTTCAAACCCAGGGAGGAGAAAGTATTCAAGAGGAGGAGGTGGTCAGTAGTGTTGATTACTACTGAGAGGTAAAGGACGATGAGACGGCAGACCACCTGATTTAGCAAGTAAGAGGTCATTGATGAATGAATGAATTATTAAAAGAATACCTTTAAGAGAATACGTTCAGTGTGCTAGGTTCAGAAAGTAAATCAAAATGGTTGAAAAGTCAGTGGGTGGTGGGAAAGTAAAGGATCAAGAGGAGAGAACGTTTCTAAGAGTATAGAAGTGAAAAACAAGTGAGATACATGATGATACCTTAAAGGATGGCAGCTTTTTGTGAAGGCTGTGTGTGCATGCATGTGTATTCAAAGGATAAAGCAGATCTGTCCATGAAGGACCCAATAGATAGGGAGAATGTTGTTGTTGTTGTTAATCCTTCATTTTTGAAGAGAATCAATGATATCACAATGTGATGGGTGATGTGTTAACTCGCATGTAAACTGGATTTAAGTGAGGCAGAGTTGCATAAAGTTGTCAGCCTCACTGTCTCTTCCAGAATCATTGAAGTCCAGTGGCAAGACAAAAGTCAGGACCACTAGCAATGGCCTAGGTTGCAGTGGATGACCAATGTTTGATCAAGCTCTAAGCCCTTCACATCACCTGCTTCATCTTTCATGGCTACTGAAACAAATTGTTCTTGCCTGCCCATTCCTCCAGGGGAAATCTTCACATGCTTGAGGGAGACATCCCCCAACTCACCAATGGGTGTGAAGCTTCTCTGTTACCGGCAGCCTGGTTTAGCCCATCTGCCAAGAAGGCTTTACTGGGGTGTGACCTCTATGCATGCTACAGCTTCCTGGATCCGTAAGTAAGAATAGTGTGTGATGAAAGGAAACACTGAAGCCAGATAGATGAGGACTTTGAAGGCTCGACTCAGAAGTATGACCTTCATTCATTAGACATTGTGGAGGGGGATGGGGTGGAAATGAAAGGATCTGAGCTGTGCAGTATGAAGATTTTGTTATGAAGGGAAAAACTGACGTAGCTTACTTCAGTAATGCACAGCGGAAGGAGCAGATTTGAAATGGGGAACGTTTGAGTCTCAGGCCTATCACTGAATGGATGTGATCTTGCCCAAGCTGCTCAACTTCTCAGGGCCTTGGTTTCCTCATCTGTCAAATGAGGGTATGAGGCTGGGTGACCTTGAGGATCCCATTCAGTCCTAAAGCTGTGATGTTCTAAGCAGTGTTACATTTGTGGCAATGAATGGTCATTTGCGTAGAGGCAAGATTTGTCGAGGGAGATTATAGCTTCTGGCCACATTCTCTAAAGCAAGAACAACTGAGAGGTGTTAATAAGGGATATTTGCATAAACAATAACTACTTCTACAACTATGAAAACTAAAGGAAAGTCACTGAGCTCAATTAAAATAAAAAAATTTCTTACACAGTTCTGGGCAGGCTACCATGGCTCTAAATGCTGGACACACACAAGTGAATAATGGAATAGTCTAAATTCATGCAGGTTGTTGTTTAATAGAGGGGATAAGAAATGCCAATAACGAGGCAGGCAGAGGGTCAAAGAGCTGATAGAAATATTCAAAGTCATCCAGAGTCTCATTTTACAGAGGAATAAACCAAGGCCACAAGAGGTGACCCAGGAAGTATCAGTGATATAGCCAGAATTTGAACCCAGGTCCTCTGATTCTGAATCCAATGCTCTTTCCACTATACCATGGGTCATATGTCCTCCTTTGCTTTTGTGAACTCTTTTTTTTTTTAAATCAAATGACATAATATTTGTAAAGTGTTTAGCACAGTGCCTGGCATATGTAGGTGCTATATAAATGTTTATTTCCTTCCCCTCTTACCATTTTAGAAGGAGTAAAAAATAATTTGTAAAGTCCAAGAAATAAGCAAAGTCAAACAACTGAGGCATTTATTTGAAGGACTATATCATCAGTCAAGAAGATTCCTGTGCCTTTGGCTACACCATAAGGTTGCACTATTACAGTGCAAACCACAGAGTTCTCCAAAGGCAGAGGGTAGGAGTGATAATATATAAAGCCAAGGAGAATCTCTTAAAAGTAATGAATATGTATATTATTTGAAAATAGAAATTTCTGAAAAATATTGCATTATCACATCCATTGCAAAAAAAATCTTATTTATCTTTTAGAAGTCAAGACAAATTTAGCTTCATTTGACTTTTATATTAAGAAAAATTTGCCAAAGCCAGTATTTGAGCATTTTAAGTAAGATCACAGTAAATCTCAAATACTGTAAAAATTATTTGGTTAGTGCAAAGTCTTGATGTTAGGATAGTGTGATTTTAGATGAGAAAAGATATTTATACTTGGCTATGATCAGCCCTTGCTTGCTAATGTACTTGAAAATTTACTTAAAGAATTCTTGGACT